GGCTCTGGGAAAATGTGCACTCTGCAGCTGTAGGTGCCACTTGCATCCATTTTGTCTATTGTACAATATTACTTCAAATTTTCTTTCTTGGCTTTCAGTCAGGATGACTTAACTAACAATGAAAATTTCTTGCCCTATATTTCAGAAGTCTTCTGAACTTGTTTTTTTTTTCTTTTCATCTAAATTCATAATCTTGGTCTCTTGACCATGTTCTAGAATTCTCAGAAATAGTATTTGTCTTGTCTGTTTATTTTTTCTTTACTGATATCTAAATATAGTATTTACTTAATGTTTCCTAGAAAGATATTCTTTCTTCTTCATCTCATTTACTGTGATGCTTTCCATTTTGTTTCAGTTTTCTAAATTTATTTTATTTTTAATTAATACATAACTATATTATTTCCCCTCCTTTTTCTCTCTCCAACATGTCCCATACTACATCCTACAATTTGCTCTCAAATGATTGGTCTCTTTTTCTTTAATTATTATTGTTGCATATATATTTATAAATGCACACACACACACATAAAACCTCCCATGTCCATTCCATTTAGTGTTGCACACACACACACACACACACACACACACACACACACACACACCGTATATATGTATATACACACACACACACACACACACACACGTGTGTATACACACGTGTGTGTGTGTGTGTGTGTGTGTGTATATACATATATATATATATATATATACACGTGTGTGTGTGTGTGTGTGTGTGTGTGTGTGTGTGTGTGTGTGTGTGTGTGTGTGTGTTTAGGGCTGACCACTCGGTATTTGAAAAACCAATAAAAGGTTTATCCCTGGGAATACTAATTCTCCCTCTCTCAGCAGTTGTTAATTCCCTTTAGCTCTTCATCCCCATGGGATTTCCCCCATTCATGTTGGCATGTCAACTGGTCTTGTGATAATCTGCTCCTCTTTAGACAGCCATACTGCTGAAATTTCATGGATGTAGTTTCCCTGCCGTAGCTAGAAGGCACATAGATTTCTAAATTCATCTCAAAAATGAAATGCCAGGAAAGAAAGCTTATTCGATGATGTCTCTCAACCACGAGTTCCAGCTTCAGGGAGAGCATTGGCTTGGTTTAGTGTAGGGATTCTCTGGTTCACATGGCTACAAGGGGTCATCTCCAGAGCTCTCCTGCTGTCCTGTCAGTTCATGCCACCTGAGCGAACACAGAAGACTAAGTTCCAACACACTGCATGATCACAAGCTCATTATTCTGAATTCCGAGGGCTTGCGTACCTGAACAGTTAATTCTGAGACTGTTGTCCTTATTTCTTATAGACCTGTTCCTGTGTAGTCATAGTCAGGGGCACCCTCATTGGTCTGTCCACTCTGGCTCATAAGATGAAAAGATATGATTGGGACATGATTTTTTTCACTTAGTGGATGGTTTTCTCAATTTAGTCTTTTTACTAGCTATGTGAAAGACTGAGTTTCCAAAATGTAAAACAGAAAGCATGATAGACTGTACAGATTTTAGTATGCACAAGAGGGTTAACTTTTAAGTTACTATAGAATCGTCATCCCACTCCATTTACTGGACCAGCAAGCTAAGCTTTTGCTCATGGCCGGGGATGTCTGCTTGTAGCATGAATCTTAAAAGTTCTTATTAATAAAAGCAAACCTGAGGCCAGTCATTGGGGTGAACACTGGAAGATCAGAGAGACAGAACAAGCCACAGCTAACCTCACCTAGCCAACTTCTCAGCTGGTCTTGTTTCCTCAGACTGGAAGCTTCTGTGTCCTCATCCCAATGGCTCTCAGCTGAACTGCTGCTCGAAAGCCTGAAGCTTAACCAGCCAAATGCTTAACCAGCCAAAAGCTTCTAGTTTCTGGTCCTCATGCCTTATATACCTTTCTGCTTTCTACCACCACTCCCTGGGATTAAAGGCTCGCTTTCTGGGATTAAAGGCGTGAGTCACCATGCTTGGCTGTATCCTTGAACAGATGGATTTCTGCCTCTGGAATGCTAGGATTAAAGGTGTGTGCTTCCACTGCCTATACTCTATGTTTAATATTGTGGCTGTTCTGTCTCTGACCCCAGATAAGTTTATTAGGGTACACAATATTTTGGGGAACACAATACCACCTCATCTGCTTTTCCCTAAAAGAAACCTTTTACCTTCTCACTTAGAAAATGTAAGGAATCAACACTAGCCTATCTCAGTACCTGTTGCTGGCCAGCAGCAATCACTGTCCTTAGACAGAATTCCAAATGCTGTCCATGGACGAAGGACTCTAACCCCATAGTGTACTGAAAGCTTCTAAGTCAACACTCTCCAACATTGCAGACAACTTGGGAAGGCACAAAGGACTTTTAGTTTGTCTAATGCCATCAGTACACCAGACTTCCTTTTATATTTTAAGCCTCTACTGTCAAGTTAATTTGGTTTAAAACTGTATTTTCATTTTTAACATCCTTTAATGAGCTTATTTCTACAGTAGCATAAGCCTGATTATGAGTCGCACGAAGAGTTCTTTTGCTGTGAAGGACAAACTGTGGATCAAAGGTTTGGTGGCTGGGTTGGTGTCCCAGTCCTTCCACTTGAGGCCTTGCTTGGTTACAGAAGATGGCCAGTTCAGGCTCCTTGTCCCCCCACTACTAGGAGTCTTTGCTAGGATTATTCTCATAGATTTCATGGAGTTTCCATTGCACTAGGTTTCCACCTCACTCCTGAAATGCCTCCCAAATTCAATTGTTTCTCGCAGTATTTTCTCCCGCTCCCCCTAGCTGATGTCCCCCTATTCCTGACCTCACATGCCCCTAATCCACCCACAAAATCTATTCTATTTCCCCTTCTCAGGAAGATTTATGCATTCCCTCCTTAAACCTTCCTTGTTATTTAGCCTCTCTGGGTCTGTGGACAATAGCATGATATTTTACTTTGTAGCTAATATACACTTATAAGTGAGTTCATACCATGTTTGTCTTTCTGGATTTGGGTTACCTCACTTGTTGTGGAATTCTACTTTAACTAGGCAAAGATGTGTTACATTTGTTTATGCTGCAGAATATTACTTTAACTGTGCAAAGGCATATTATATTTGTTTCTGCTGCTTTTGTTAATGATGTAAAGATGTTCTTTTGTTTATGCTGCATTTATCTAATTACATAAAGATGTGTTGCATTTGTTTCACTTTACCTGATTGGTCTAATAAAGAGCTGAACAGTCAATAACTGAGGAGAGAAAGGATAGGTGGGGCTGGTGGACAGAGAGAAAAAGTGGGAAGAGAAATCTAGGCTCAAAAGAGAAGGAAAGAATAAGGGAGAAAGAGGGACATGCCTGGGGCCAGCCAGGCAGCCACCAGCCAGTTAGATGGAGTAGGACATACAGAAGAAAAGAAAGGTAAAAAGCTCTGAGGCAAAACACAAATAAAGAGAAACAGGTTAAGTTATAAGAGCTAGCAAGAAACAAGTATAAGATAAGGCTGAGTGTTCATAACAAATAATAAGTCTCTATGTCATGATTTGAGAGCTGATTGGTGGCCCAGCAGAAAGTCTGGTACACTCACTTAGGATGATTTTTTTTTCAAGTTCTATCCATTTGCCTGCAAATTTTGCAATGTCATTGTTTTTCACAGCTGAGTAATATTCCATTGAGTAAATGTACCACATTTTCTTTATCCATTCTTCAGTTGAGGGACATCTAGGTTGTTTCTAGTTTCTAGCTATTATGAATAGAGCTGATATGCACATAGTTGAGCAAGTGTCCTTGTGATACAATGGAGCATCCTTTGGATATATCCCCAGGAGTGGTATAGCTGAGTATTGAGGTAGATCTATTCTCAATTTTCTGAGAAACCACCATACTGATTTCCAAAGTGGCTCTGCAACTTTGCACTCCCACCAGCCATGGAGGAATGTTCCCCTTGCTCCACATCCTCAACAGCACTTGTGTGTTTTTTATTTTAGCCATTCTGACAAGTGTAAGATGGAATCTGAAAATCATTTTGATTTGCATTTCTCTGATGACTAAGGATGCTGAACATTTCTTCATGTGCTTCTTAGCCATTTGAGTTTCTTCTGTTGAGAATTCTGTTTAGAGCTGTACCCCATTTTTTATTTGGATTATTTAGTTTGTTGATGTCTAGTTTCTTGAGTTCTTTGTATATTTTGGATATTAGCCTTTTGTCAGATGTGGAGTTGGTGTCCCATTCTGTAGGCTGCCTTTTTGTCCTATTGATTGTGTCTTTTGCCTTACATAAGCTTTTCAGTTTCATGAGTCTCCATTTACTAACTGTTGATCTTAGTGCCTGCTCTAGTGGTGTTCTTTTCAGAAAGTTGGCTCCTGTGCCAATGCATTCAAGGCTATTCCACATTTTCTCGTCTCTCAGGTTCATTGTATCTGTATTTATGTTGAGGTCTTTGATTCACTTGGACTTGAGTTTTGTGCATGGTGATAGATATGGATCTATTTGCATTCTCCTACATGACCACATCCAGTTAGACCAGCACCCATTTGGTGAAGATGCTTTCTTTTTTCCATTGTATATTTCTGGCTTCTTTATAAAAAAAAAAAAAAAAATCAAGTGTTCAGAGATATGTAGATTTACATCTGGGTCTTCAACTTGATTCCATTAATCAGTGTGTCAGTTTTTATGCCAATACCATACAGTTCACTTTTTTTAGTTTATATCTTATTATATATCGCCCACAGTAATAGACATAGATCTGAGTCTTTGATCTCAGTACAAACACTTAAATATAAGATCAGTCCTGGATTTAGTCTGAAACTACCAAAATATACGCTCTGATTATTTTCATCATATAGTGTCTCTTTAAATCTTCTTAGGTACAATAATCAATCATTGTTCATTTTCTTTTCTGTGTGGTTATAAAAATAGGTAGATAAGCATTTTTCATAGTTTCTTACTGATTTGTCAGAGTAAGTAAGTAAAGGTCTGTGAAAATGACTTTGACAAAAATATCTCTCTCTAACAATGAATTTTTCTACCAATAATGATTCTTCCCTCAGGAATTGGTGTGCCCATGTACATACCAAGTTATCTCCAACAGTAATACTGGACACTCATGGCTCTTACGTGCCAAAAACGAGAGGATCCTGTGGCTGGTCCAGTGGACTCTGTTCCCAAAGGTATGCAATATTTTCTGAAAATAGACACTTTCTGTGTAGACCAAAAATACATAGGAATAGCCATGCCAGGCACTGTATGACTGAGCAGAGAGTCCTTATATTAGATTAGATATATGACCTTTAGTAAGTTAAGATGTGGTTACTAATAATGCATGTGTTATGTATTAGTAGCCTAATCAACAAGCCTGGGCTTAGATGCTTATGAAAGGCATAGATAACTTCAAAGATGTATTAACAATTTTTTGTTTTAAGTAAAAAATCCATATATAACTTAACTTGTATTCAAAATATAGAAAGTTATTACCTGTGATTGTGCATGGGAAAGCAGTTCTTCTTTTATAAGTCTTAGTGATCATACTGTTTATGACATATGAATATATTATATTATACATACATTATATTAGTGACCATGTTGTTCATTACATATATGAATGTATTATAATATAGGTACATTATATGTATGTACATACACACATACACCATTGTCAAAAAATAATGTAAGACTGAACTCTTGATAAATTCTCTGAATACACATAGTAACCAAAGCTTGACTAGAGATGTTCATAAAGAGCCTGCAAAAAAAAAGCATTGCTATTCAAGCTCTGAGACTAACACTACACAAATTATCATACAAATAACTCAGGAAATGAATCTTATGCATCAACAATCTGGAACAATGCACAATAAGGACACATAAAATCCAGGTGTTTGAGTCCCTTGAGGACTGTGATTCATGGTCCAGAGAACTGAGCACATCTTAGGAATCAGAGAACTAAGCTGTGGCCTTGCTTTCAGCCACTGTTCCCTTTCTGACAATTTTCTTGTCAAGAACACAAAGCACAAAGAACATATTGTTAATTATTCAGTAATGAAAATATTACCTCAGTAACCCTTTTCATATTGTTCTTCTGGGTGCAAGGTGAGTTCCTCTCCAGCTCTTTACTCTTTTCTAAACCCAGCTACTTTATCCTTATTCCTATCTCTTGTCTTTGTGTCCATTTGAACAGGTCTTTGCATTCATTCACAATTTCAGTATTTATACAATAGATGCCTGTATTTCCTTTATTATATGAACATTTCATGCAACAGACATTCAGTTTGCCAGAGTAGAAACATTGACCCTCTAGCTTAATTCAACAAAGTTCCAAGTTCTGGGGTCATTCCCACAAACTAAATAAATTCCATCTTCATTCCTTACTTAGCCTTAGCAGTCAGGGTGGAGATGATATTCCCTCCAACAGAATTATTCACTGAATGTAACTTATTAAATTAGACATAGATGAATGACTTAGCATGCTTTTAGGGCTGGAAGAATCTTGTAGCTCATTCTGTTATGGAGAAATAACCTCTGATATACTGACTTACCTGTCATGTTACAACAGAACCTGAAACCCGGCTAATTCAGTTCCTTCCAACACAACACTTGAACTGGTCACTAGGGTTGACTGGGACAAATCCCAGTAGCATTGGACTAACTCATAAAATCCAGGTTAAAATTCCAATTCCATCAGTTTTAGATATGGGCAATTGAACAAGTTATTTTATCTCTATTATTTGTACTCCTCGGCTTTAAAGCATATTATAATTCAAGTGAGTTCTAACACTGATCTAGCTAGAAAACATTATGTAATGAAAAACTATCTTATCTTTAGAAAATGCAATGACATATTAATTTAAAATAATTTAAAATACATGTAATAAAACCACTCATGCTTTTTGTTGCATATTCAAAGAAATCCTGTTGGCTATTTTGAATATAATACTGATGATAGGTTTATGACTTTATAATAATACCAAGACTAAATGGTTATCACATTTCAGGCATTATTCTAAGTATTTTATATTTATAAGTCCTAATTCTATCTTAACATGAAGCAAATAATTTTTATCCAATTGTTTTCCTCTCCAGATCTCAGAAGACATCCAATGCTGTCTATAGGATGCAGCATAAGATTGTCACCTCATTAGAATGGAGATGCTGTCCTGGATACATAGGGCCCAACTGTCAGCTCAAAGGTATATGCCAATAATAACATCATATTAACAAATTCTGAGAAATAAGTAATTGGATGGACCAATTGTGAGCCAAGGAAAATTACCAAGAAGCCAGATGTTAGGCCTGCTGCTGTTTTAAAGCTTCCAGGGTCACCGTCTCATAACCTGCCTCTTCACTGTTTCTCTCATCTTTGTGTTGGTTTTGGGAAGTGAGTAAGATGATCTCACTGTATTAGTATTGACTAAAGCTACAAAGACACATCTTCCTGAGATATTATTGTAAATTCTCATTTTATATTTTAAATAAATATGATTAGAAATAACCCACATAAAATAACTATATAACACTCTAATTTTGTTCCAGTTCAACTGCTTGATATAACGGGACTGTGAGCGACAGTTCATGTTAAAGAATGTACCATGTAACTTTTGAATAATTAGGGTTTCTTTTTTTTCATCTTAAAGGAGCCATTTTTTAAGCTGCAATTTTAAGGATTTTCTGGTGGAAGGCTGATCAAACACACGGCCACCTGCTGTGGCCTGATATCCATGTAACTGTTATTTTGCTTTCAGCTTGAAACAGATTTTATTTGAAAAATAAGATGTGACATCTGCATTCATATTTTAAGTGAATGAATATTACAAGAAAGGCCATTAGCAGTGGTAGGGAATTCAATCAACAGTGTAGGAGATTGTGATTAAAAATTAATGTAACTGTGGAGAAACCATTATGAGTCACATTAAGAAACAGAAAATCATATACAGGAGCTCCAAGAATCATGCAGTTTAGTCAGGGCTATTATTCCCGGCTAGCTCATGCAGTGAGGATCTATGGGTAAATCTTCCACACTGCTGTTTTCTCTGGGCCTGGTTTAAATTTCACAGATAACATAAAATCCAGCACATTTTCAGATGGTATCAGTCATGTTTTACCTCGTGACCAGGTAAAATAAAACTTTTACAGAAAATATTACCCATACTGAAAATACTTGAAAATGAGGTGATACAAAATATTTGAAAAAGATCCAAATGTTACTGCTTTCAAAGAATTCATTTTATAAGGTGTGCAAATATATTCACAGTATTACGGTGCATTTGTTTCTTATTCACACTTTTTTATACTATTTAAAAATCTTGACAATATTTGGAATTCTGCTTAAGGTCTTTATTTCTCTTCGTATGTGGAAGATATTTAGAGAATATGAATCCTATGATTATTTTTTAAGGAATAAAGGTTTGCAAAGTGTCTTTTCAGAATGCAGGCTGTTATTACACACCCCATTGCACCGAATGTCCGACTGCAGGTGACAGGGAGCTAAGCAGTATGTCAAAGCATGTCCTGGGCCCAGCTGCTGAGAGCTGGGCCTGCCCCACACTCAGCCTCCTGTACTGGCTAATCGATTCTTAATCATTATGGCAGACTACATGCATGTAGCTGGAAGAAGCTACAGAGCTCCAGGATGGTAAATATACCCACAAAAAGCAAAACAAAGTGATCATTTGAGTACCTGTTCTATACTGCCATTGGCTTCTTACAGGGATTACCAAGGGTTTAAATGTGAGTGGTTTATAGTCTGTGGTGAATGGCACCTCAAATTCTTCCTAGAAGCCACCCAGGGATATCTTTAATATTAGATTTGCAGTTTTCTGTTTCAACACGTCGACAAAGGAAGTCCCAGAAAAGCTTCAGTGATGACCTCCTGTCATCGTCACCTAATTTAAGCTACACACAAAGCCAGTGTCTGCTGATTAATCTGTTATGGGGATGCATCTTTCCTATACAAACCTATGTGGAAATAAGGCTAGGGTGGCAGGTTTGCCCAATTATTTCAAATTGCCATACAGTCAATTCTAACATAGCTTTGATTCTAAAAGAATGTCATGTTGCTCAGACAGAATCCTGGCCATTTGTCTCTTACTTTCATTGTAGTCCACCAAGGACTTGCATTTTTTATGAGTACAGTTGATATTGGCAGCATCAAGGGCCACCGTCTCATGCCAACCCTCTGTTAACTAGCTCTCTCCTGGTTTATTTCCACCTTCACATTTTCCCATTCTGATACCTACTTAATAACATCCCAAGCTGTCCCCTCACCCATTACACTTAATAAATATGGCACCAGCCTTTCATTTTTATACGGTAGATCAAGTTGTCCCCATAAGAATAGAGTGTGCGGCAGGCTGCCTCAAACAGGGCAAGAATGATCAATCTGGCCGATCCATTCTTTAAACCTCTGCTGAGGCCTCTGCAGTTTGGTTACGTAGATACCTGATTATGTAGGTACAATAGCAATTATCTCAGGGCTTATCCATCAAAGTATCATTGGACTATTTATTCATAGAAAAATGTGTAAAGTACCACACATACTTTATAAATCTCTGCTTCCCATCTCCAGAAACAAAATTAATTTCATAATGTAAATATAATTTCCTCTTAATTTGATTGGGGTAGAGTAATGGTTTCAACATAAGATAAACATCAGTAGGTGTGTTGGCAGTTGGACTGTCCTCCTTATCCTTCCCCAAGAGCACCCACCTCTTCCCAGCTTTTCCTCCTCTTCTGTCTGAAATCCATCTTTTGGGTGTCATCAAGAGATGCTGCTCATCAGACCCACTGGGCATTTTTTCCCAGCTCCTCTTCTAATGTGCTCATTTGCTCTGTATGTACTTTAGCACAAATAATCAGAACACTGGGTTCTAGTGGTAGCTTACCTACTAAAATAGGAATATCAAAAGGAATCTTTTTTTTTAATTAGGTGACTGGAACTTTAGGGGGGGAAAATGAATATTAGGTCCAATATCAAAGCAATAGTTTTCATATGGTTATGCCTTCTGGACTTGGTCACAAATCTTTCCATCTTTCCCGTTAGGGAGAAACTTAATTTGCAATATTTTATTAGAGACATTTTTTTAATTGTCTGTAGTGATATACCACTTATGCTTATAAGATAAAATTTGCAATTCCATGCCTCTCCAGTAGATGTCTCTAAAATATTCTGAAGTGGAACGAGGCAATTATGATTTTCTATTATATCACAAAATAAAGTAATTTATGTTCAATTGATGTTAGTTTGGAGAGGATCCTTTTGCAAATCTGTTAAACATTAGAGCCCACACAGATTTCCTAAAGAAAGATCTATAAAATTACGTTTTAAAATATCTATCACAGAAATTATGAATACTGAAAAGATATGTGCAGATATGGAATAAATTGACCCCTTATGGTACATTATAAACACCTACTTCATCTTCCCTAATGCATCTTTGTGAACACACTGAGCATCCCCTTGCCAGTTAACCTGACGCTGCAGGATCAGCTAGAAGTCTGTCTTGTCAAGCCACACAGGAAGGCTTTCTGGCAATAAGCAGGAAATAGAGCATACTCCTTACTGACTTTGACATTAACGACTTCCTCCATATGGCTCAAAAGGCTCAAGAAAAACATCTAAAAAACAAACAAACAAAAAACAACCTGCAAATAAAATCTGTTTAATTAAAGAGGAAAAATAAAAACACCTAATAAGAAAGCTGTTGCTCCTGACATCTGCTGACCTTGCTTCTGAGTTCTTGATCCCCAGTGTCAGAGTTTTCATTGCAGGGAGAAATATAAGACCAAAGGAGCACAAATAAAATCTGACGTTGCCTTTCAAAACAGGTACACAACCTTCCTCACAGTCTGCTGGCTTCAGTTAGTGCCTCTCTGTAACTGCATCTGTCACATAAAGGGGACGAGGGGAAGAGACCTAGAAATCTGCACTCCACGGAACCAAGCAGTCTGTGTTTCTGTGAAAGGGCAGACAGATTGCCAGGAAAACCTCTGCAGTCCTTGGTGTGGAGAATACATCTGGGGAGACAGAAAGATTGCTAAGTGAAAAATAAAAGAACATCGATCAACCAGGTTCCTCATCACAGGAAAGCAGCCGACTGTCAGAGATCCTATCAGCTCTCTGCAGCTGCTGGTCAAAATCCCCAGATATAAATTAGGATGAGTGGAAATATTGAACTCTAGTTGACATACACAGCCAGGAAAAGAAAACATGAATTATTGAATTTGTAAAACAGGCATTTCAAGTTTTTAACAGCTTTGGCAGGGCCCTCAGCAAATGAGCTCCAGAACAGAGAGGTTCATGTGACCACCAGATCTCAAAGATCTCTGTGTGATCTTTAACCCCCTGCAGTTTGGAGGACAATTTTGCCACCTAGTTTGTGTGGGTGCACACATGCAGAAGGACATTGGAAATTTACCACTCAATTGTATTTTTCTTACTTTCAGTCTTTTTAAAACTTCACCAAAATGTTAAAACTAAAAAGGTTGAATATTCTACCATAGAGGTCTTCATCACCTAACAGTAGAACGTGTTATGAAACTAAAGACTTTCGTTTGATACCTCTGTGTATTGTCCCTTGTTGTGAATTGAGGTAAAATGCCCACGTGGTCAGGCTTGGGGCAAGTGCCTGTAGGAGCAAACTTCCCACTGGCTCTGACAGCTTCCTTTTCTCTTCCACTTGCCACTAACTGCAAAAAGATTTGTCCTCGTGCTCCTCAGTTCCTGTTTCAAAGACTTCTGCTTTCTCTAATCCATCACTGTCTACTTCTCTGTTTATATCACAAAACCATCTTTCTAGGGTTCATGAATGTTGAGAGTTTATGACTGTTTTTACCCCAAGGTCAATAGAAAATTAGACTTTAGTGTTCAGTGCTATCTTCCTTTCTGTTCTCCAGTTTACACCATAGCTGGACTTCTTACTTCCTGAATATTTAGGGTTGGGCTGAACTGGGAAGTACAGAGACAACCATGATGCTAGAGAAAATGCATCTACTAAAATTCCAAACAGTCCCCCTCTACCATATAGAATGCATGTAGATAAGAATGGCCCACATAGGCTCACATATTTAAATGCTTAGTCACCAGGGAGTGGATCTGTCTGAAAGGATTAGAAGGATTATGAGGTGTGGTTTGTTGGATGAAGTCTGTCACTGAGGGTGGGCTTTTAGGTTTCAAAAACCCAGGCCAGGCCCCAATATCCCAATATCTCTTTCTCTTTCTCTCTCTCTCTCTCTCTCTCTCTCTCTCTCTCTCTCTCTCTCTCTCTCTCTCTCTCTGCCTGAGGTCTGAGGTCAGGATGTAAGCTCTCATCTACTTTTCCAGTGCCATATGTGACACCATGTTCCCCACCATGATCATAATAGACTAACCTCTGAAACTGTGAGCAAGCTTCCAACTAAATTCTTTCTTTTAAGATTTGCATTGGCCATGGTATATCTTCATAGCAATAGACAGTGTATATGTACATCACTTACACATATCTCTATCAGAGACGAGACTCCCAGCTTCCCAGTCCTAGCAAGATGCTAAGTGAAATGTAATGTTATAATCTCTTCATTAAGTATACAGCATGCCATACTTTATAAGGAATAAAATGAACAGGTTTAATTTTATGAGAATACAGTAACAGTATTTGAAACAAAGCCTGACTGTCAAAACAAAAGCTTTAGCAAAGTATGTTGAAACTGTGAACATTAGAGCTATGGGAAGGGACAAGGGTAATGTTCAACCATTTACCCACTATTTCAGTAACACTGGTATATAGACTATAGTAAAAATGCATTACTTATTGTCTTAAATTAATACATTTATTACCCATAGTAAATATAGACCCACATGTCAAGTACAGAAATCATAAACATAAGCCACTCATACTCTAATAATCCCTGATAAACTTGCTGTTGCCTCCTGGCTACTGACATGCTTTTTCTTTGGCCATGGATGACACCAGCAAAATGTCCCTTTTGGAAAAATGATTAAACATAGGAAACTGTTCTCACTGTCTCTGAAGAATTCCCACTCAGACCCAGAGTTGTGTGACTCAAGGTCTCTGTACATGTGTAATGTCTATTAATGCTGATGCTTTGGATGTCCCGCTCTTCTGGGCTGTACTGAAAGAAAAGCGATAACATTCATGTTTTTCAATCTATAAAAGCTTTATGCTTTTAAATGTTGCCCATCTTCCTTGACAGCTAAATCATAAAAACTCCTAGAGCAATCCCAAATGTAGTTACTTCTTAGAGCCATGTAAGCACCATTTAGTCATAGTTAGGGCAACATCGATAAAGCAACATTTATTAATTTTGTAGCTGTGTCACACACATTTAATTTAGAAGAAAAGCTCTCATTTTCTCAAGCAACTGATCATATTATATTTTGTTTCAAATATATGGGAAATCTCAAATAATGTATTTCAAGTAGCATATGTCTCAAATATAGACATTTTCATATCATATATATGTGAAATTATTTACAAGGGGAATAATTTACAAAATGCCTTGGTCCCAAAGACTACTACTAAAGACCAAACATCCTTGTAGTGTTTCATGTTTGAATTTGTAGCATGAGCTCTCTCTGCCTTTCTGTCCCTCTTCTGTATTAGACGGCCATATGTTTGCTACATTACGTAGTGCACATATTTGAACCCCAGCACAACTGTGCTCAGATGCTTGCTGACACCATATTCATCCCGTCTCCATCTGTGATGTCTGAAAATGGTGAATGACAGCAGTAGGATTCTCTCTGAAGCCATGTCTGAGTCTCCAGGCTGACTTGCTGTCTTGCTCTGTTGCTCTATTTATCTGGAAAATTCAGTATACTTTTTCTTTACTTCACATCAGTAGTATTTTGTTTGTTTGTTATAGACAGAGTTGCTCTAAAGTTGCCCAGCAAGGCCTGAAACTCTTGACAATCTTCCTGCCTCATCCTATCAAGCATTTGGATAACAGCTGTACATCACCTGACTTGGCTATATTTTCACAAACACAATTCATAGAAAAAAATTTTTCTTGACTGTTCCTCTCTATGGCTTTATTATTAATAATATTAAAGATGTTTTTCCTTCCAGTTTCCTGAGATCAAACTGTTAACTGTAGTCAGATGGTCCTGGGCTGGAATTCCATTCATCATATATCCTGAAGAATACATCTTTTATCACATATACACAATTAACTTGAAATAAATTGATATCACAATTTTAAGATTAATTATGACAGTTGTTGTATGTTATTATTATATATTTGCTGAAAGACATGGTTCAATAGTTTGCAGTTGATAAGCCACATTGATTCATCATGACTAGAATCTGGAGTGGGGGGCATGCATGCAGCTAGGTAGGAATGAAGATTTGCAGGCTAGCTTTAGGACAGGAAGGAGTTTACTTCTGAGGAATTTTGAGTGATAAGTAGACTTTAGATGTGACTGCTGGGGTGACAGCAAAAGCGTCTTTCATGTTCCACAAGCCATTTGCTCAGCCCTATTATCTGAACCACAGAGAGAATGATAACGTGTACATGATGGAACTGAGAGATCGTGAACAGTTCCTGCTGATGCCACTTTTTATAATGGCCTGCTTCTTTATGGAATGATGGACATATGGTTTTGACTTGTTAGACTTGTAATAAATCATGCCTCTGAAACATGTTCCGGTCATAACTGGGATCCTATTTAATAATCCGTGAAGACTGACTTTTGTATTTCAATTTTACCATGAAAATAGAAAATTTTTCTGCCTTGTATCAACAAATTTTATTAGATTTGAAAAAAAATCTCAATTCTTTTCTAAATCAGTAGATCTAGCCAGAGCCATGAAATCAAAATCACCTAAAGACTTAAAATTTTTAAAAGATACATGTGCCCAATTGCACAGCATAGATCCAATGAACCACAGTCCTAAAGGAGGAATTGGAAAAGTAGGAATATTTTGGTGTTTCCAAGTCAGTAGAGACTACTAGTTTCTACTGGTAATGAAATTAAAGAAACAAAAAAGCCAACAGTATGCTAAAACAGTAGAAAGCAACAACAAAGACGCATGATATGTATAAAAGACTGAACGTGAGAAAGTTTCCACAGTAATTAGCCTGTGTCACACAGCCATGGCCCTGGCCACTCTGACCATGCTTTAGCTCCTAATGCCCTGCCTCACTCACTTTCGAGTGCACTAGTACCTTTTCTTTCTGTGGTCCAGCTCCAGAAGATAAGCAGTAAGGAAATGGAAAGGCCGCTGTAACCCTGTTACATCCATTTGCTCATCTTGCTCTCAGTACTTACAGTTTATGGTCTGGACACGCCTCGCCACTCAGAGAAACACAGGCTGTGATGAGGGGGCCTTGCAGAGGAAGACTGACAGTGATGCTTCACTCCAGTTGTTCACAAGCCTTAGCAAGCATCAGAGTCATGTGACCAGCTTGGTAAAAGAAGATCGCTGCTCCATGTCAGGGTTTCTTAAAATGGGGCAGGGTCCTGAAGCTATAGGTTCAGATTCCCCCAGGGAATGTTTTCATGGTCACTGCAGAGAATACAATTTGAAAAGCATTACTTTACTCTTTAGCTATGCGCTTAGTGGACCGAGAAGCAAATTGTTAGAAACAGGATTTGTTATCCCACCCACAGAAGAACCATGACAGGAGAGTGGCACTGTTGTTTCAGAAATACCTTTGCATGAATCAATTTGAATTCAGACCATAAGAACTTTATTGTTGGGGCATAACAGGAGATTAATACTTTCCCCTAATTCTTAAATCACTATACTTCTCTTCAAGCTCTGCACCAATTTCTTCTACTAAATAACTCCTCATTTACGGTGGTAAGGGGCATCAAAACAAACTATAGACAAATGGAAATTCATTGACTTAGCCCAAGTCCTTGAAGAACAGTACTGCAAAATTCAACAGAACAATGGAGACAAACCCAAATTAATATCAAACCTACAGCATGTTTTAGGGAGTGGGAAAGCTTCAGGATTGTCAGCAAGGCCACATGTGCATCATGGGGGTCATTAACATGCACCCCAATGGCAGTTTCATTGACACAGAATTTCACAGGGAAAGAAATCCAGATACCAAACGTATATTTGCACATATCTGTATGCAGGCACCAGTGAATAAATTTGATCATTCGAAGTCTATAATTTAAAAATGTATTATTGAAGTGCTTAATATTTTAATTTTAAATGAATCTCTCAAAATTGTTTTCTCATATAAATATTATAAAAACATGTAAATTACTGAATTTGTAAGAAATTGTGCTCCTTAAATATAGGTATAAGGATTTCTGTTTCTGTGGAATGTCACTGACTTTATGGGTTGATCATCTTGGAGATATGACTATAATTGTTTAATTTTACCATTAGTTTATCAGAAACCATGTATTATTTTTTGATCTTGGAACAACTCACTTAAATGGCACTATTAATTAAATAGCTGATTTGGTGTCTAGCTGGAAAGAATATGCCACTTTCCTTCCTTCCAACAATCACCAGTTGGAAAATGCAGTAGTGAAAAATCAGTCTACTTACAAGGCTGCTGTCGCTTTTACCATAATGGATCATAATGTCCACCAGTTTCATAGGCTACATCTGTAAAGGCTTCCCTCCATTTTTCACCTGCATGAATTTTGAGTAATTTTTTTTTCCAAGACAAAATTAGAGCCCTGACTTCCAACTGCATGTGGCATTACCCTGTCCTATGAATAGGGTACAACAGTTTGCTCTGCACTCAGCCTCATCATCATGCTTCGGTGCACAGGAAAATGGCCCCATGCTCACTCAGGATTGGAAAAGAGGAGGCCCTTCCAATGCTAACACTTTATACTCTCTCTGCTTTTGTCTAGCTGAAGAACAGCAGCAACTGGCACACAGTAACCAGGCTGAAAGTCACACAGCTGTTGACCAAGAGACGGCCCAGCAGCCCCAGCAACAGCAGAAGCAAGACGGTGGCGACCCAGGTCCTAGACTGCAATTACTGTCACCTTCAACCCAATAATTGTCAACACCATTTCAGTGGTGATGGATTAACTAACACACTTCTCAATCCTGTTCTGTGGTTGCTAATTGTTTGGAGAAACTGCACTAGGTTGTAGGTTCCCAGGGGGAGAAGATTTTCATAAAGTAGTGGGGGGGGGACAAATCCATGCACAAGCCCAAGTGACTAAAAATGCTGCAATCACACATCCAGGGAAACAGAACAGTTCTCCAAAAATAAACTCAGCTTTTGTTTGATGTAGAAGGAGCAACTCAGCTGAGTTAATAAAGCTGAGAAGGCTGTTTTGTCTGATAAGAGACCACAAAGGGGTGCTGATAACTTTGGAAAATGGTTGGTTACCTAAGAACTTGTACTGATCAAAAGTCAGTCTGAGATGTGTTTTCTGTCCTCATACAGTAGTTCGCCATCTCAGGCTTAACTTTAGCCCCAAAACAAAGTCAGTTAGGGCCAATATCATCTCTTCAATAGTATGCTTGGCATAGATTTTGGTAAACAAAGCAAGGCATTCAGTTGAAAAATGAAATTTAAAGGGATCTTTTTTTTAAAAAAAATGCAAGAGATCATCATGTTAAGAGAAATAGTCCAGACTAAGAAAGACAAACATGTTTTCTCTCACATGTGACACATATATTTATATATACTCACATATAGGGTGTATGTGTAAACGTATATACGTGTATGTACATACATATCATATGTATGTTAGATAGATGATAGATAGATAGATAGATAGATAGATAGATAGATAGATAGATAGACAGACTGATCAATCAGAAGACATGACCGAAGGAGAAGTTGTTTGGGAGGAAGGAGACCTTCAAGAAAGAAAATGGTGACAATGAGGTCGGTAATTAAAGTTGAATATGAACGAAATACTGATAAATATATAGGAAATGCCATAGTAAAATCTGTTATTTTGGATGAAAATGAAAAGAATTAACTTTAGAGTGAATTTGGGCAACCTACCTAGAAATTGTCCTTTACTTTATATTGTGACTTGGTATCTGTAAAATACTGGCAAGTCTTTGAATCAGTATATTGCATGTGTAAAGGAGTAGTGAGTATTATTATTGTACAGAATGATTCACTCAAAACTGAGATCTGCCTCTTACCAAGGAAGATTTCGGTAAACAATGAAACACTTGGACAACTACAATGCCATGCATATGTAATATCGTATATATTTAGTACTGGGACACGGTTTAAGAGCAGAAACGAGCCATTAGCTGGGTGACGGAGAGCCCATTACTTTGACTTTTCAACCCTCAATATTTTTATTTATTCAGAATGTGTTGATAGGGCTAAGAATTTTTAAAGACAAATTATGAGACTTTAAAATGTACAAATTAAAGATATTATAATGCTCTTGTCACTGTATCCCCTGAAGTTGCTTCATCGTTCACATTGCCTCCGAAATGAAGTCTATACTCTCAAATCTATGAGCACAAATACGGTGTACTTGAATTTTTTTATACGTCATAAATTTTGACAGGTGTTAAGTCTATTATCTTAATGGTCCCAAATCTCTCTCTTCTTCATGCAGCTGTGATTCAAAAAATGGCCGAGCAAATGAGCCAGCAGGCAAAGAAGCTGACACTTCTGCAGAAGAAGGTTGACAATGTGTCCCTGGCAGCAGACGACATGAGGAAGGCATACCTCTCGCTAGAAGGGAAGATTGGTGAAGACAAAGGCAAGGAGTTCCAACCTCTTCTAAAAGGTAAAAGGGAAACAAAATAAGAAATTCATTCAGTTTAAGAAACAAAACACATTACTCAGTGACATTCTCTCCTGTCACTTTAGATCTTTGCTTCAGATTAATTAGTAAAGAAATGGATATCTTTAACGAGGTAATTTTAAAAATGTAACTTCAAAATAGTTGTGTATTGAAATGCATTTTGTAATACTCACTTGACTGGCATTTTGTACCTAGTTACAGCATAACTTGTGTTTGGCCATAGTTAGAATGAGGCCATCATGGTTGTTAGAAAAGAGTGATGTTGGTGTTACATAAAAAGGGGGAAATGATGCAACTGTATTATAATCTAACACCTTTAAAGGAGTGATTATCAATAACAACAACAGCAAGAAGAATGACATTTAAGTTACCTGAAACAAAGTCAAGTAGAGTTTGGAGAGCTACCCCGCACAGGTATTAACATGAAGCATGGTGACATGTTTTTGTAAAACCAGAAATTTAGGTGAATGTTTCTTTACCAATGAGTTGTAGAAATGCAGATAGAAAAAAATGCTATCATGAAACATGATTTTGAACTAATGTTTTACTTGATGTCTTTTAGAACACTACTATGATTTTGAAATTTCCTTTGTGATTTTCCCAAGGATATCTTAAAAAATGATAGCTAGGGAACCAAATATGCTTTCATCTTGTCCTAATATCCTTCACAAGATCTATACTGATCTTACCTATGCATTATGACAGACCTGTCATTCATACTCTGACCTCCTGATCATGTCCTTTTTTAATAGTTGGAATTAAATCTCTATCAGCAATTTTTTGCAGCTAGGTAACTCAAAAAGTCTTAAATTTTATTTTTTCTTATCAATCCTCAAAGCATTGTGGGTGATTAATACGAAGTCACAAATTCAAAAACTAACCCTAACAGGTATAGGAATTTTATTGTATATCAAGTTTTAGAAGCTGCAAGAATTGACCACAATTTCAATTAACCAGAAGTGGCTAAATTATCCTGTAGAGAGTACAGACATATTTGTACTATGGAGTATTGCTTTACAATTGCCTTACATTTTAAGTTGTCATATTTTACTACCCACGTATGATATAGAAATACATTCACAAAATATTTGTTAAATAAATGAGTAACTGGCAAAATGCTAGCCAATACTTCTGACTTTTTAATAAATAAAAAGAACAAACTATAAAAAAGAACAAACTATTTTTGTATAATTCCTCTCTATTGTAGCTACTTAAACTTTTCTAATTTAGCCTTTCTTTATAGTTTGCTGCCATGTTTTAGTAAATGATATTTCATGTGTTTTATATTTTTATTCTTTTGTGCCTTTCTGTATTTAGCAACCCTAATATTAGAGAATATATTTCCAGTAGTACAGTTTACGGGGGGGGGGGGGGGGGGGGTTGTACCAGAATAGCTAATTTCAAGATGTTCAAAAAGGACGTTATTTTTTTCTTTTAAAATTTCTCTTTTACAATAATTTTATGTGAGTTTTTATGTGTGATAAATACTTTGTAAAAACACAAGACCATGGAGCCTACTCACCAACTTTGTGAACTGGCTACATGAGAGCTTTAACTGCTGGGACAACGGTCCCCTGTGCACATCTTTCATTTTTAAAATTCCTTTGTCACTTGAATCTCATATGATGATCAATGTGCTTCTTTTTGTAAATTTTAATGAACATTTCTTCCATTTATAATTATTTGTAGCCAGACTATGTAAGTATATATTTTACTTTTCCTGTTGTTTCTGTATGAGATAGTGTCTTTTGTTTGGTTGGTTGGTTGGTTTTTGGTTTTGTTTTGTTTTAGACTTCTCAAATATTCACTTTTTACTTAACTCATTTGAAATAATTCATGATATTTTTCTCTCCCCTTCCCAACCTGCTCCCTTTCCTCTTCTACCTCTTCCCTTCCCTTCCCCTTTCTTTCTTTCTTTCTTTCTTCCTTTCTTTCTCTTTCTTCCTTCCTTTCATGCTCTCTCTCTCTCTTTCTTTCCTTCTTTCATTCTTGTTTCACACAGCCCCAATGTGTTATCAGGTATGTTTAAGGTGTTAGGAACACTACTAAGTGTTCACTACTGGCAAGTTTCCTTTTATTATGCCAAAAGTTATAAACATATCATAAATTCCTGGTTTAATGTGAGCTTCACTCAATTTTATAAAGCATACTCATTTCACTACTTGGTATTATAAACCATTGTTAAGTGGCATGGATATCTATATTTCCGGTCAACTTAATAAAGTTTTTCTCTGTGATTTATTAGCATTCATGAGTTCATAATGTAAGTGCTGCATGTAATTACTAGACATTTGATAATGCAGTCATATACTAACAACAGGTATTTACTCAGACAAAAAGCCCAGTGTGATTTATTTTCCTTCACATCTAGACCTAGGATTGCTGTAGAGCTGTCTGTGTCTGAAGTAAATAGCAGTTCCTTTTTGCCTTTTGCCCATAGAACTTTTGGTTTATGGTGTTAGTGTGTTATACATGGTAACTGATTCTTCATGTCAGATTTACCAGTCAAGAAAGTGATTTTCTTATGAAAAGTGATTCACTTATGAAAAGCTAATTTTTCAAATGTCACAAATATATGCAGGGAAGAATTATTTTCATTAGTACATGTAATTAGTGTTTGGTTTTAGAATTTTAACCTCTTTACAGATATGACTTGATAATTCAGAATTATGTATTTTTACTATTTATTATCTTGTTCTTTGTAGCTCTAAAATCAAAAGGCATCGATGATCTGCTAAGGAATATAGTAAAAGAACAATTTAAAGCCTTCCAAAATAACATGCAGGAAACCATTGCCCAGCTCTTCAAGACTGTGTCAAGTCTGTCAGAGGACCTGGAAAGTACCAGGCAGGCAGTTCTACAAGTGAACCAGTCCTTGGCTTCAGTAACAGCCCAGCAAAAGTTGGTTTTCATGCAAGAAAATCAACCCACATGGAAGGACATCACAGATCTAAAGAACAACATCACAAATGTCAGGCAGGAAATGGCCTTGACCTGTGAGAAGCCCGTCAAGGAGCTAGAAGCCAAGCAGGCTCATTTGGAAGGAGCTTTAGGACAAGAGCGCTCACAGCTTGTTCTGTACCACCAATCCCTCAATGAAACTCTCTCTAAAATGCAGGAAGCACACACACAGCTGTTATCAGTTCAACAAGTATCAGGAACAGAAAATGTTGCCACTGAGGAATCAGGCAGCAGTAATGTCACTAAGTATATCTCTGTGCTACAAGAGACAGCAAGCAAGCAAGGTCTGATGCTACTGCAGATGCTCAGTGATTTGCATGCCCAGGAGAGTAAGATCAGCAACCTCACTATTAGTTTGGAGATGGAGAAAGAATCAGTCAGGGGAGAATGTGAAGAAATGCTATCTAAATGCAGGCATGATTTTAAATTTCAACTTAAGGACACAGAGGAGAATCTGCATGTGTTAAACCAAACATTGTCTGAGGTTATCTTTCCCATGGACATCAAGGTGGATAAAATAAGTGAGCAGCTGAATGATTTGACATACGACATGGAGATCCTTCAGCCTTTGTTGGAGCAGAGGTCGTCTATTCGACAGCAGGTTACACATGAGCCCAAGGAAGCCATTGTTAGGCGCAGAGAGCTACAAAACCTGATTGGTGCTATCAACCGCCTAAACGTTCTTATTAAAGAACTTACAAAGAGACACAGCTTACTCAGAAACGAAGTGCAGAGCCAGGGTGAAGCCTTTGAAAGACGCATCAGTGACCATGTCTTGGAAACAGAAGATGGCCTAAATAAGACAATGACTGTCATAAACAATGCCATTGATTTTGTTCAAGATAATTATGTGTTGAAGGACAGTTTAAGTTCTATGACAGATAATCCTAAGCTTCATGAGTATAACCAAAATATAGAATCCATTTTGACATTTATTTCTGAGTTCCAGCATCTGAATGATTCTATTCAGACTTTGGTCAATGACAATCAGAAGTATAATTTTGTTTTACAAATTGCTAAAGCTCTTACAGCTATTCCCAAAGATGAGAAACTAAGTCAGTTAAATTTTCAAAAGATTTATCAAATGTTCAATGAAACCACTTCCCAGGTGAACAAATGTCAGCAAAACATGAGTTATTTAGAAGAAAATATACTCTCAGCAACAAAGACTGCCAAAGAGTTTGAATCTCGTTTGCAAGGCATCGAATCTAAAGTGACCAAGACACTTATACCTTACTATATTTCATTTAAAAAAGGTGACATGGTATCAAACCAGAAAGATACTGATCTTCAACTGAAGGTATTAACTTCCAGATTTAAGGCACTGGAAGCAAAATCCATCCATCTTTCAGTGAGTTTCTCTTTGCTTAACAAAACTGTCCATGAGCTTTCAATGACATGCCACAATGCTTCTGCAAGTGCATGTGGACAGAATGCTCCCATACCCACATGGACCAAAGGTCCTCTGCCAGACAGTCAGAGTTCTCAGAAAAGTCTGACAGAACTTGTGGAATCAATAGTTAAAAAAAAAACTCAAGCTGCTCTATCTAATTTAACTTTGAATGTTGATCGGTTATTGTCTGACAGTCTGGCAAATACTGTCAAGCCTCAGAAGCAGGTAAAACCACAGAAGAAACCCAGTACACTTAAGAAATCAGTGAACGTGACCACCATCCTGATAGGCCGGACACAAAGAAACACAGACAGCATTACACTTCCTGGTAAGTTGGAATCGAATAACAACTTTGAACCTCTTTCATGCTATGGATTACATGCTACTGAGCAGATCCTACTTTAGAACCAGGCTGGAGGCATGGAAGGCACTTACTCATGCTTGGGCAGAGTAAGGTAATGCAGGTGATTAATGCACTCTACTGTATCTGATTTAATGTAAGCTAGTTATCAACGTGCTGCTGAACTTTAATAGACATCCTATCTACAGGTTTCAACTCTCTCTTAGCAGACCACTATAAAATAATCAAACTGCTTCCTTTAAAACATTCTCTATGCAGCTAGTTAAGAAATTTGTTGTACAAATAAGAGTTTAAGAGTTTTTTAAATCAGACCATATATTCATTTGGGCTTTAGTGGGTAAAATATGAAATCAACACTCAATAAATATCTCTCAAATGACTGACTTAAGGAGACTATTCAGGAATTGGATTTTAGCAGAATAAATAAAGCCATGGATGTTTAAAAAACTGCACTTAGATAAAATTTTGAAAAAGTAAGATATGTTTAAAAGTTCAGAGCAGTGGTTTGGCTGTAGTGATGTTGAGATGCAAAAGTATGGAGTTGCTGTAGTGCCAAGCATTGTCGCACAGACCAACACTAGGACACAAGTTAGGACCCTACTAAATAAATGTGGGCCAATACAGTGAGGGTAAGAAGTAAGAAGAGATGGTTGAAAGGGGACTTGAAAAGTGTTGTGAGAGTGTAATGAGGAGACAACGGGAGCAGTGGAAAGAGTGAGGACCTGAGAGTCAGGCCTTGATTCTGGTCCTCACTGTAGCACTACATTTCTACTTAAGTTAATAGCCTTCAGAAAGAAAAACAAAATAAGTCAACCCTCTGCAGCTATTTCTTCTGCTGAAATGATTAGATTGCAATAGGTAATTTACTGGGGTCATTGGGAGAAATGTACTCCAGTGTATCATTGTGAGAAACACACTGCTCACAGCCCAGATTCATGGTGCTTGCAGAGGAGAGAAACAATCTCTGAAGTTTTGAACAGGGTATGAGAGGATAGCAGGACCATCAACAGATGTTGCTGATTGCTCTCAGATGAGTGATTGATTTAATATTTGATTAAGGAGATGATAGGAAATAACACAGCTCTGGTTTTTGTTTTTCTGATGGGGCCTTGATAACATTCTTTCCTATGCATTTATTTATTTATCAATCAAATTTTATAGTCTTATCTATCAAAGTTAATAATTAAAACTTCTTTATTGCATCTCAGTTAAGACACCCATAATAATGCCAAGACACAGAGGTCCAATTCCAAGTGCAATGTGGAAATCACTTTCAATGAATTCACTTTGTAAGAAATGGGGTCCTTTCAAGCAAATGTGCATTTGCTCACCTATCAGCTTGACCCTCCTGCTGTGGACTATAAACTGGTGGCATTCTTTGGACAGCTGAGCAAGCAAGGACCAGGGATGATAGCTAAAGTACCTGAGGGGCTAGAGAGATGGCTTTGAAGGTAAGGTGTCAGCTCTGAAAGCCTGTGGGCCTGAGTACAGATTCCCAGAACCCATGAAAAAGCCAGGCATGGCTGTGAACATCTGTAATGCCAGCAGAGTGGGCCAGAGACAGACAGGTCCCTGGAGCTCTCTCTTACCAACCAGTCTAGCAGAAATGGTGAGTTCCAGGTTCAGTGAAGAGACCTGGAACCCTCAAAGAGTAAGATGGTAAGCCATTGAGGAAGTCATCCTGACACCAACGACTGGCTCATTCATGGGCACACGCTCTGATACACACAGTGTAAGCACACAAGCAAACACACACACACACACACACACACACACACACACACACACACACACACACACACACATACATATATATATATATATATGTATATATATATATAAAACACAGAGAGAGATACACAGATACAACACACATCAAAATAAATAGATAAATTCATTATAAAGTAAAATACTTCATCTGATACAGTTCTCTGCCAGTTGTGTCATACACCACCCACCACACTGGCTAAATTTGACTTTTGTTTTGTTTTGAGACAAGGTTTCTTTATGTAGCCTTGGTTGTCCTAGAATTAACTCTGTAGACCAGGCTGCCCTTGAACTCACAGAGATCTGCCTACCTCTGCCTCCCAAGTGCTGGAATTAAAGACACGAGCCACCATTGCCTGGTACCCTGTTGTTGTTGTTTTTACTCTTTGCTCTCTGGGGGCCCACCAACCATCTCCCAAATAAATACACAGAGATTTATTCTTACTTTGGAATGCCCAGACTTAGTTTGGCTTGCTTCTAGACAGTTTTTCTTAACTTAAATTATCCCATCTACCTTTATGCCTCTGGGCTTTTACCTTTCTCTATTTCTGTATGTCTTTTCTTTCCTTCTTATTATGTGTCTGGCTGTGTGGCAGGGTGGCTGGCTCCTGGCATCCTCCACTCATCTGTTTCTAGTTGTCCTCTTTCTATTCTTCTTCTCCTCCTACTTATTCTCTCTGCGTGCCAGCCCTGCATATCCTTTCTCCTGCCTACCTGTGGGCCATACAGATCTTTATTAGACCAATCAAGTGTTTTATACAGGCAAAGAAACACAGCTTCACAGAGTTAAACAAATACTATGTAAAAGAATGCAACACATCTTTGCATCATTAAACAAATATTCCACAGCATAAACAAATGTAACACATCTTTAAGTAATATTCTATAACAGTGCCCTTTGACTTTTGATATTGTAGGTTAGAACCCGGAGCTACGTTTTTTTTTTTCCACTAACTAACACCAGAGGATCACACCATCATTTCTGGAACCTCTTTATCACATTATTTATATTTTAGCAAGATTTACAAAAATGTGATTTTTTAGAGAACAATCTGTATGTTAGTTTCTATTTTAATAAACTGTAACTTACTTTGAGGCCTGACACTAATACTACACTATTTTATGTATTATTTATTAACATCACTCACTGCAGGCTTTGTAGATATACTAGATATGTTGCGTCCTTCACCAAGACAGGTATTATCACTTATTTTGAAAACCAGGGACAGTCAGAGATTAACCAAAGTATCCTCCAGTTATCAGGTACCCTGATCTGCTGCCTCAGGCTCCATCCTCAGTCCTCACCTGCAGAGATGAGAGACTGTCTTCCTGTGCCTTCTCCCTCCTGCTTCTCCTTCCTGTGTTCCATGCTCTTTGGAGTATCGCTGTAACTGAGCATTTTATGTGACCAAAGTTGATGTTTCTGGGAGTTTCCTTTATCAAGGATTCAAAGACTGACCTCCGTTGAAACTGCTCAAGTCTTGATACTGACTTCAGTGTGACTTTCCTGTGACCTGGCCACAGGGAAGTTACTGAAAGTCTCATGAGTTATTCATGAAATCTGCTTTTACCTGATATAGTAAAAGGGAAAGCCTGGCATTCAGTTATGCTAAATATGGTATCTACCACGCCATTGCTAAGAAGCTATTCTAGCTTAGTTTCTAAACACTTGATTTGTTTTTATACACTACTCAGATATCAAAGATTTATGCATTTTAATTTCATGTTTGCAGGTTTGTTTGTACAGCAATCGGCTGACTTATCCCTGGAGAGAGATTGGCTGCTTGCCCTCGCAAGGGCAACAGAATCCTCAGTATCACTGTGGAGTGAGCAGACTGCTTGTTCCCCACTCCCTAGTGTTTAAGTGTCGAGTCATGTAACAAACCTCTTTTATCCATAGTCATTCCTGTACTCCCAAAGAAGATTTCAGTGTACAGAATATTTGGCACTGTATCAACATAGTTTTCAAAAGTCATCAGTGTTGTGAATATGAAAGCAAGTTAGAAGAGAAGGCCTAGTGAATAGTTAACTGTTTTCACCACTCTTAGCCACTTCTAGTGTTTATGACTTCATAGAGACAGTTGTGATAACTACTGGACACTAAATTTAGAACCAGGACTCAAATCTTTCTTGGTAACTCACTTATTTGCAATGCTATTTATGTTTTTAACTATAAATCATCTATAAAATAACTTGACCACCTTACAAGTTTATTTTCCAGATTAGAAAATGTTCTGCTTATGACACAGTATCTAATATAATTATATGATACAATTTTCCTTACCTGTGTTCAACAGCTTACATTTTTATTATTTCACCCAATATTTGAAACTTATCTACTTAATTTTATCACTAGAAATTATGGACTTAATCTTATTGTTTTCTTTTTATTTTTCTACCAGTTTTTGTCTTTTAAATGTCATTGTTTTAAACTCAACGTGCACATGGTGTGTGTGTGTGTGTGTGTGTGTGTGTGTGTGTGTGTGTGTGTGTGTGTGCAAAATGTACCTTTCGATATAATGGCAGAAAGAGTAGACTTCAAATCATAATGACTTAACTTTACAAGACCCTGCACATTGATAAGCAATGAAAAAGTACCTGCATATGCTTCTTCTTGTGGTGCTGGGGATTGAATTCAGAACCCTGTGAATGAAAGAAAAGTATCCTAACAATGAGCTACATTCTCAACCCTCTACAAAGTTTTTGAAGAATGGTTTCCTTCAACAGAGTTTTCTATTGATATGCTTTTTTATATTACTTAAAATAAGATTTTTAAGTACACTTTAAGGTGTATTTGACAAAGATGACCTCTGTATAAAATGACTAACTATAAGTCATTTAAGTTATAAAGGCTGATTGAATTTAGAACTCGTCATTTATTTTAGAAGGTCTGAAAGCCACACATTTGGTAATGCCCTGGAATCACAACAGTCCTTGGAATTACTTGTGTCCACAGCTAAAATGTATTATAATTTTAAAAAAGAAAACACAGGAGGACCAAGTATGGCAAAACATTCAGGAAGACTCGGAAAATCCATGCATGTATGCTTCTTTGTGCTCCCTCCATGAAGGGGCCAATGTCTTTGTGCTCTTTAATAGAGTGAGGGAAGATGTCATAATATGTGCACCATATTTCTTCCCGGGGAAGCCTTGGTTCCCAGCACTGTCAGGCAGGCATGCTGTTCTTAACAGGCATAGAA